TTCACCCATCAAATTCGGACACTTGAGTTGTCGAAAATCGTTGGTTGAAGTATTTGTCCCGCAGTCGTGCTATGCCAAAAATATGGAAACTTCACTTGTGCTTCTCTATCTATTTAAAGATCCAAACGACAATCAAAAGATACCGTTGGATTCCTTATGAAAATAACTTTCTAAACATTTTTGTTCACAAATATCCAACAATGGGATCTCCGGTGACATTCTAAAACAATTTACTGCATAATTCTTTGATTTTTTTGAAAATCTAATATTTAGCAAAGTTTGAGGTATCGTATGATGAAATTAAACATGTCGTTGGATAGATCGAGTCAAGAACTTTAAAATAATATATGATTTTTTTTTTTAAATTCACTAATGGTAGATGAACGATGAACGACGGCTAATGGTAGTGGCCGGCTGCGACAGGTGGCGGTAGGATGGTCGGATATTCAAATTTAGTATGTTTATAATTTAATTATCATAGTTTTAGTAATTTTTATTACATACATGAGCTTGAAATTGAATACAATATAAGTTTAAATGAAATAACATAAATTATAATTCAAATGAAAGTAAATGTATAATAGATATTTCTCATATATGAGGCAATGCTTTATTGTCTTGTACATTAAATGTAAAGTTTGAGATTGAAGTTTTAATCAACCTAATGATGAGATGAGGGGATACTATTGTCAGGTACGTACGAGAGCTACGTAACCCTAGAAGGTCTCTACTTAGTTTTAAGACGTATATCATTGTACAAATGTGATTGAAAAATTTTATATATATATTGAAAAAACTAAGTATAGAATACTTGAGACATTTCAAGTAATTATAAATACCATCATATTGTTAGTTTTTTATTTATTCTATAGTTCTTATTTTTATTTCACAATAAGAATATAAATTTATTTTATTCTTTATTTTTGCTACATAAATATTTATTTTTTGAGCATCCATATAATACATGGACTAGTGCGATATTTGTGTACTACACGGGTACTTGAAAAAAAATTGATACTTTTATACGAAAAACAATAAAATAATTATATTCTTATTGGTAAATTATAAAATAAAGAACTAAAAAAACGATATTAATTACTATGAAACTCGTGTTCTACTCTTCATTTAAACAAAAAATATTTAAAGATGGTATTTTGATATATCATATAGAAAAAAATTATACAAATAAAAAAGTTAATCTTTTTATAATAAGGAGAATAAATATTTATAATACTTAATATATCAATTAAAAAAGAAAAGAAATTGTATGTATGGTAATTAATAAAAAAGAATGGTAATATATAGTAATTTAACAAAAGATAAGGTAAAATAATTTTAATTTAATTTTCAAACCTAGTTGTTAAACCAAACCTGTATATGTGTCAATATGAAGTACAAATTTATGTGAAATAAGCTTTCGAAGCATGCGAGTATGCATTTAGGCTCATCACATGTGGGTATTATAGGTATCGAACTAGGCAAGATTAAATCCCAACAAATTAGTGTACGTGAGATTTGAACATAGTTTTTAAACCGGCCCAGGATCATCGACCCAGATATGTCTGTGAATCTATGTGTTAGGTCAATTGTTGTTCCAAATAATTAATTTTAAATTTTTTCAAATTATATTTGTAGAATTTTATTATATAAATACACATAAAAGTAACATAAATACATGTTTTGCGTATAAAATTTGTGCATCGAAGTTTTAATAAAATTGTATATCATAATAAGTATTTACCATATAAATATATGTACACATAGTTTTTTATTTTTGAAACAGAAAGTATTTTAAAAAATAATAATAAAAAAAATTATAGCGACCAAGTCAAACCGGTTTGAGCCAGCAGAGTCGATGCCGTGGTCGACTGGGTAAAGGCCGGGATTGACTGGGACTATTTTCACCCGACACGAAGCACCCACCCGGACTGACCTTGGCTCCGGATTGATCCGCCGGGCGGCCCTGGCCAATCCAATCTGGATAGAAAAACGACAATTTGAACTAAAAACTTGTGCGATTTTTTATTTTTTTACTAGAGCAGTGCTGATGCGATGCATGAAAAACATTTTAAGATATACATTAAGTTGATTTCACTATATGTAATATACTATATATTTCTCCTTAATTTATCATTTCAACACTATATACTTGATGATTGAAATACTTGTCTACATATGGATGACGGTCATAAGGTAAGTCAATTGAGTTTTTGTTTCTTTCAGAAACTTCACTCACTATGCCTGACAGAAACTGGGGGAAAACGAGTGCGGGCGTATTAAACATGAAATTTTAAGATATACATTAAGTTGATTTCACTATATATAATATACTATATATTTCTCCTTAATTTATCATTTCAACACTATACTTGATGATTGAAATACTTGTCTACATATGGATGACGGTCATAAGGTAAGTCAATTGAGTTTTTGTTTCTTTCAGAAACTTCACTCACTATGCCTGACAGAAACTGGGGGAAAACGAGTGCGGACCTACTAAACATGAAGCGCACCATGAACGGGGAAAAGCTCATATGAAGCCCAAGTAGAGTTCCATCCCAAAACGAATTGGTGGAAGGAGAAGTAACCATTAGTCTTATAAAGTGGGTCTATTTTTCATGTATGAACAATGTGAGACAACTCACAAGTGATATTCTAACAATGCCTTCATCTGAATTATTTAGAAACAAGAATTCATCTACTTAGACTGGCTAAATTTGAAAATTTAATTTTTTTTTTTAGGGATATAAGAGACTTTTATGAAAGGATAAGATGGGGAGAATGGATCATATCTTTCCCATTAGGATTCCTTTTCGCTTATTCAAAGAAAAGATCCCGTGACAATATCAGGAATCACAACACATCGATATACAAGGAAAATCCTTATTTTTCCTATCGTATCACGTTTCTGAAAAAAGGCCTTATAATTCTAATTTTTAGTAGGACAAATCAAATATACAAAAAATGTCACGTCGTTGAAATAATTATTTAATTAGTATTACATATACAAAAAGGAGTTTAGAAAATGAAATATATGGATATTTATTATTTAATCTCTGAATATGAAAAATTAAAACAAGCCCATTAAGTTTATGATATAGTAATTAGTTGAAAAAAACAAATAAATTTTATATTCTCATTAAGAGTTCATAAAATAAAAGTGAAAAGATTAACAATGATTTTCGTTACGCTTATATTCGCATTATTAATGAATAAAAAAAGTGATAAACGCATTATTAATTTATTAATATATTTGAATAATGTTCTTTTTATAAAGTTTCATTTAAGAGAAGAAAAAACAAATGATGAGATCCCATTATATTAATAACCATATATCATGAGCAATCCATAAAATTCCTATTACAAATAAGTAAATAATTTGAAGGTTCNGAATGTCAGCAATAGCATAACTATATTAATAATTCATAATCTTTCATTTATATAAAGATGCCTACAGTTATTCAGCAGGCACTGAAAGAAATTTATTAAATGCAAGTTGGGTTGGGATATAAAGCCTATATATAAGGATGTATGGTTTAAGCCACATAAAAATGGAAATAAAAAACACATAATCAAATTATTGCAGGAAAATATCCTTTAATGGATAAACATCTAGCGAGTTGAGTTGAGCTCCATGATTTTATATTCATTTAAATCCACTCATTCAAGATATATAGCTTATATATATGAAAACCACAAGAGGAGTGTAGATTTAAAACATTCTAAAAACAAATTAAACAGTAAATCTAAAATTTAAAATGACGAGAAAGTTTGAAAATATGTTTTTATAAAGAAAAAAACTGTTGACATAGATCTTCAAATAAAATGATCAGACATATATGTAAAGTGAGGAAAGGAGTAAATAAGTCTGAGTCGAGCCGAACTTGAAATTTTGATACTCAAATTGGATTCATTAACAAGTCGAACTCGAGTGTTAACGTACCGAACAATTAAAATTTATATATTATTATTTCCAAAATATAACGAGAAGAGTTCGATTCAGCATGTAATCCAAAAGAGATTAACCTCGGAATTCTTATCAAACAAGCCGATACGAGCCCCAACTAGAATTCAACGAGTCAAACTCACTAGCGACTCTAACTGAGTTTTGATTGATTATAATCCACGCAAGTAAAATTTACTGCAATTAAAATTTGAGAAAGTTTATCTTGCTTGTTATTTAACATAAGAAATAAAAAATCAAGAAATCAAGAAAGCTTATCTTGCTTGTGATTTAACTTAATAAATAAAAAAGTAAAGAAATCAATAATATGAGAATTTTCCCAACTTATCTTGCAGGATTTTTGGAATAATTCTGCAAAACAAAAGGAAACAGAAAAGCAACCAGGTTCATATAAATGCTTATCACTCTTGTAATAATTCTGTTATCTCTATCCAATTTTCCTCACCGCCAAGCTTTAACCTTACAACATCACGGTAGAGGTTCCAATTCTCCTCGGTTGGCTAGATTTGGGCTAACGTGCGCTTGAGGTATAGGCTATGTTTGGTAAAACTAGCTGATAAGTTAGCTGACAGTTTATATGTGAATTTCAAGGTTATAGCTGACAGTGTATGACTTATGATTGAAAAGCTAGCTGATATGATAAAATGTTTAGTAAAATTAGCTGATAAGTCAGGTGAAATAAAAAATTCAACGAATTTATCTGAAAAGCTATGTAAAAAAAACATAAGATGAACTCAAACTTTTTAAAAAAACTCGTCTTATTAAAACAAACTTATTTATATATAGAAATATGGTAAGTTAATCAAATAAATTATAAATTAGTTTATATTACCTACTAAACACACTCATGATTATTGAATATTAATGTGACATATATGAATTAACATAATTTGTGTCCGACTCATATACACACAACATGAGGCGAATGTGTAAATGAAGCTCGTGACCCTATATGTTGGCCCATGTGTAGTTGGCCCAATTACAAACTAGGCCGACATATAATATTTCGCAGTGCCTGGCCGACAGTGAAATCGCAATGGCTAGCGTAGTTCGGCCGCTAATTCAACGGCCCCGGTAGCGCCACCCCCGCTCGACGGTCACTCGCCTTCTCAGCCTCCGTTCGTCATCAACAAGCGCCGTCGGTAGTTTTCCGTTCCTCGCGCTCTTCACGACTTCGTATCGACGAGTTTATTTCCGCTCACGCGCTCTCGAACTGCGTGACGTCAATTCTTTCTCCGTCGGCAGCGGTAGCGACGATTAGGTCTCCGACGGCATCCGAGAGAAGAGCAGTCGCACTGAGAGGAAGCGTGATGACCGACGCGCCGTGCGGTGGGGCATGGAGCTGGCGAGCTTCTATCCACCTCAAATCAACCGCATCCTCGGGTATTTTCATCTGAAACTGTAATTTCTCCCCCAATTTTTTTTTTTTGAGAATTTGCAGAAAATGCTGTAGAAGCTGGGGATTTTAGAGCGATCGGATATTATCACTCAGCATACATTTTTCTCAATTTACTCTTTTCGTTTAGGAGAGATCCTCATCCTCATTATCTTAAGTCACCGAACAGAAATTATATTATTTCGAATACGTCGTAGCTTGTTGCATTTCCATAGACTCATAACTAAGAATCTATGAATATGATAGGGTGACTGCTAAGTTAAGTGGAGCCTCAAGTTAAGTGGAGCCTCAATTATCTGGTGATTTAATTCAGAATTTCTATGTTATGCCTTTCTACCAGAGTTTCTATGTTCTTGTAATGTTGATATCACAAAGGAAATGATGAGTCATTTTCCAAAATTTTACTGTCATTGGTTTTGATGTATTGAGAATAAATTAACAGTCTCCCACATTTTTATTATAATCAAATCTGTCGATGACTCCAAAATAGTGGGAATTAGCCCATGTAACCTTCTCAGCAAAGGAAATTATTCAAGTAATGAATAACCAAATACTAATATGTCCTTACCTGAGCTTTGAAAGAAAGTATTGTCATCTTCCTCAGTTCCTCCAATTCTCTCCTAATTCCCACCCTAATTCCCACCCCAATCTCATACACCATCTCGCTCGGCTGAAATTCTCTCCTAATTCCCACCCCAATCTCCTACCCCCTCTCGCTCGGCTGGAACCACGGGAAGATCATCGTCTCTCTCCTCACCGGAGAAAAAGGCACCTACATTCGTCTCTAATTGGCTTTCCCAATTTTGCTTCACGCATTCGCGCAGATCTTTTACAGATTGGAGACATTTGATTGTTCTTGTGCATTCATCGTGTTAGCTTGTTGACGGTAACTAGTTCACCCAAGAATTTTACTCGTTGTTTCGAATTTTCCATATTCCTAGTGTGTGACCTTGGAGTTGGTTCTTTGTTTGTCTTGTGTAATACTTCTTGATAGTGTTCTTCTAGAAAATGATTTTTCTTGGGATGATGTGCTGGTAAGCAATCAATCTATTAGGATGCATTGTGCAGCTAGCTATGTCTTATTTATGTAATCTAATTCTCTGGCAGTGTCCACATAGGGGTTATAGGATTACACACACTAACCTCTATGTGGGTATGTGTTGATCCAATGATAATAAATTCCATGTGGGTACTAATGAAGGAATTTTCCTAGCCTACATAAGTTCTTTGAATCGGATTTATATTTTGCTTGATTCGTGGAATGAATGTTGCCTTTGTTTTGCTCGTTATACATGAAAAAAGTCATACTAAAAAGTTTTAAGGTTTCGTGATCATGAGGTTATTGTTTGGCCATTTTATTTAAAAGAAGAAAACAAAGATTAGGAAAATACAGCGGGGTTACTATAAATGGAATCTAGAACGTATGGTATCCATTAATGGTGATATATGATTAGGAGAAGTCAACCAAGAAAGATACAATACTTACACAACACTGGAAAGAAGCTTTTACAAAAGTTTATAAGTATAAAACTAGTTCATTCTTGAAAAGTAAGCCAGAAGATTAACTTGTGATCATGAGGTTAATGTTGGGCCAATTTATTTAATGTTGCCCAATTCCACTGGGAACTACATGTTTTGTTATTGAGTTACACCATATAGCATGTTTTCCCTTTTATCTTAAGTTGATGCTAGCATTTTATTACCCCTGTGCCTTGGCACTAGTTTGATGGAATTTTCAGTTACAATAATACGAAAATTCATTTTCTTGTTGGTAGAATTGTTGCCATTCATTTAAGAGAATTCCTTCTATGTATGGTTCCTCATGTTTACAAATTTGATCCAAGGATATGTAAGTATGTTTATTTGGACGGACACTGTGTATGAAACTGATGGCATTTTAAGTTACTTGAGTAGGCATTGACTACATATCTTTGCTCTGGCGACTATATATTTTTTGTTTAAATGATCCATTCATTAAATAAAGGAAAATAAATAATTGAAATACTTAAAATATCCTTAGATAGTAAATGACCATAATACCCTTCTTCTATTTTGTGTTATCAACTTTTTTTTTTTTTATAAAATATTATATATATAAAAAATGAATCAGTCTCATGAAAGAAGCTTACGAACGGCGATCGTGCTCTTCTCTTCAAAAAGAAGAAAACAAAATATGACATAAACTTTGAATTCCATATTGCAAAAGAACGGAAATGCTCCCCTATTCACGGTAGGCACATGTTAATATGTCCACCGCTTACGTGGCATGCACACATTGGTGATGTTAATATATTAAAAAAAAATACATCACCAATGTGTGCATGCCACATAATCGGTGTGCATAGTAACATGTGCCCACCGTGGGTAGGGGAGCATTTCTCTGCAAAAGAAATATGTTGGTGGTGGAAGAAATAATTTTTGGTAGTGTTTCTTGTTATTTTACTTTGATAAACATTTTGATTTCATATTGTATGAATGATAAGCATGTTGGCTTCATATTTTTTTATGTTTTTTGTGCCATTCACGTTTTCTTTTTTCCATTTTTTAGATGATGTTGCATTTGATTTTACATAACTAATGTACAGTCGTTATACAATTACATATAATTTCATAACAAATGTAGATTCGTTATCTGATAATTATTTCATAACGAATTTAGATTCATTATGACATATCCCAACGTTTTTAGTCCTTATTATCAAATGTGGATACTAAAATAGTTGGTTATATATAAATTGTAAAGAGTAAGCATAAGAGCATTGTATATTATCTCTTATTTTAGTAACATGTGTTTTCACAATTCTCTTGTTGAAGTAACATATACTTTTTTTTTTTATCTTGTAGATATTGATTTAACAAAGATGGCGTGGATACAAGTATGCCAAGTATGCCACTATGTTGAGTTTAAAAAGAGTAAATATGTCACCTGTATGTGGAGATATGTGAATGAAGATGAAGAGAATGTCAATCCTCTTTATATTCCAGATGACATATCTTTCTTGGAGGTTGAAGATGCGGTCCTGAAGCTCATAAAGTTCGATAGCAGAATGACCAAATGTTCAGTGAAGATCGATTCTGATGACAAAGTGAAATAGTATATATCTGTTTGTGAAAAACATCCTCTTTGCATAACACGTATCGAAAACTTGAAGAAAAAATGAACAATCACAATTCAAAGGTAATTGAAACATTTACAGGGGATAGTGAAATTCACGAGCGGCTCGAAGGCCAATGGGGTATTATGGTGGAGAATAGAGATAGTCCGATTGAAAAAAATCTTGAAGTTGAAGAAGAAAGAAGAACCACTTTGTTGATAGAAGATGCGCATGAGAATTTTTCAACAGAATATGCTATGGTTGGGAATGCAAACTACTCTATGAGTCCGCTCCATTGTCCATCTTTCGTGATAATCACAGAGAGTGAAGATTTGCAACGTAACAATCTCTTCTCAACCAAAAAAGACTTAGTAGATAAACTTTTGTTGTTTGCTGTGAAGTACTACTTTGAATTCAGAGTGATAAAATCAACGAATACCTTGTATGTTGTTGCATGTATTGAGAGAAATTGTCCTTGCCGTTTGAGAGCGGTGAAAATAAAAAGTGGTGAACTTTTTTAAGTACTTAAGTATGTTGGTAATCACAGTGACTCTATGAGTGTGTATAGTAAAGATCACAAGCATGACACGTATAAGTTGATTGGGAAGCACATTTCTGAAAAGTCTAAAGTCGTCAATCGGAGTTATAAGCCGAAGGATATTATTTTCGATGTCCAAGACATGTTCGGGATAACTATCAGCTACAAAAAAGTATTTATGGCAAATCGTTATAGATCTGGTATCATTGAAGAAAATTATATGAAACTCCAACAATATTGTTACGTTTTGGAGCAAAAAAATCCTGAGACAGTTACTTTCATTGAAACAAGTGTAGATGGTCATTTTAAGTATTTTTTTCATGGCTTTAGGGCCGTGCATTCGTGGATTCCACTCTTCTATCAGAAGAGTAATATCTGTGGATGAGACATTTTTTATGGGGAAATGTCACATCCACAGATATTACTCTTCTGAGAGAAGAGTGGAATCCACGAATGCACGGCCCTAAAGCCATGAAAAAAATACTTAAAATGACCATCTACACTTGTTTCAATGAAAGTAACTGTCTCAGGATTTTTTTGCTCCAAAACGTAACAATATTGTTGGAGCTTTATGTAACTTAGGTTCACATCCATAACGTTTTGCCATAAATGCTTTTGTGTAGCTGATAGTTATCCCAAACTTGTCTTGGACATAAAAAATGATATCCTTTGACTTATAAATCCGATTGACGTATTTGTATTTTTCGGAAATGTGTTTCACAATCAGCTTATACGTCGCATGCTTGTGATCTTTATGACGCACACTCATAGAGCAAGTGTGATTACCAACATACTTACGTACTTAAAAAATTTCACCACTTTTTATCTTCACTGCTCTCAAACGCCAAAGACAATTTCTCTCAATACAAGCAACAACATACAAGGTCTTCGTTGATTTTATCACTCTGAATTCAAAGTAGTACTTCACAACCAACAACAAAAGTTTATCTGCTAAGTCTTTTGTGGTTGAGAAGAGATTGTTACGTTGCAAATCTTTACTCTTTGGGATTATTACTGAAGATGGACAATGGAGGGGACTCCTAGAATAACTTGCATTCCCAACCATATCATATTTTGTTGAAAAATTCTCACACGCATCTTCTATCAACAAAGTGGTTCTTCTTTCAGCTTCAACTTTAAGATTTTTTTCCGATCGGACTATCTCTATTCTCCACCATACTGTCCCATTGACCTTCGAGCCGCTCGTGAATTTCATTATCCCATGTACGTGTTTCAATCACCTCTGAATTGTGATTGTTCGTTTCTACCTCAACATGTTTTTCGATAAGTGTTACGCAAAGAGGATGTTTTTCACAAACAGATATATATCATTTTACTTTGTATCAGAATTGATCTTCACAGATATATATCATTTTACTTTAGTTATAAGTGAGTATATTAAAATAATATTTAAAATAAAATAATTAAAGTTGATTTGATGTAAAAGTAGGAAAGAGATGATTTGAAGTGATGGCTAGTTAAAATTATGTGAGTAGATAAATAGTGAATTAAAGTTGATGTGGTATGTAAGAATGATTGATTGATATTATTTACTTATATTGATAATTGTGAGGTTGAGTTAAAGTTCAGTTAAAACAAAGTGGTTGAGTTAAAATTTTAGATTTTATTGAAATAATTTATATCCAAGCATACTCTTACAATCTGTTCGTGGTTATTTCTAAGTTTCTAACATTGTTGTGTTATTATCATTCATGTATAAACGATTTTACTACTTGCATCATGTTCTACACTTTCTCTGGAAACTATGGTTTGTGAGTGGTTTGATTATTTCATGCTTCATATGTTTTGATGTGGATAAACATGTTTTTCATCACTGCCTTCCTTTACAGGAATCTATGGACATTAATGTTGTGATGAGATGGTATGATGGGCTCTGATCAACAAGGATATTGGCATTGCAAAGGAAACTTATTTGCTCTGGGAAGTTGAGTTTGATTCTCAGGTCAGTTTGATTAAATTTGGTATTTTCATATTTCATGTAAGGGAAAAAATAAAAGAAAACGGACACTACAAAATCCAGATTACTTTCCTAAATAGTTGAATTACTAGATAAATCGGGCACAAAACTAATATTTGTTGAGGTGATGAAACTTCATATATTCTACATATGCTGAATAAGAATAAAGCACGTAAGCATCGTTCGAATATGCTGAATTCTGCAGTTCTGTTGATTATCTTGAGCAGCTTTCCGGCCACTATGTGCTGTCTTACGAGCCATTTGGCTGAAATATTTTGTAACATTTCTGTGTACATGAACTTTGTGACACGGTGTTTTCCCGATTAATGATATAACTTAAGAAGACAGATTGAAAATTGAAAAGAAAATACCTTATAGTGTTCTGATTATAAAAGGTGCCTATTTCCAGATTTCCAATAAAAATGCTTGCGAGACTATTTTTATAACCTATGCTCACTCCCGAAAGGCCATTTCAAAAGAATACTTCAAATTCATCAGACAAAAATCTATAATGTGTTAAACGTACATATTTGCTGCTTTTAGATTTTGCTGAGTTACTGATAATTCGTCTCACTATTTTAGGAACTTCGACAGAAAAGTTCACACGCGAAGACAGTTGGACGAAAATTGAAAATTAGAAGCACTTGCTTCAAATGCAAGAAAACCTCACTCATTTTCTCTGAGGTCTCGCATCATGAATCACTAAAGATATTGCAACACATTATGACTCATCTTTGAACTAAAGCTCATCTCTGTTGATTTCATCAACAGAAAAAAAAAAGAAAGGAAAAGAAGGGAAAAGAGATAGAAGCAAATTAAAAAGGAAAAGTTAGAGATCACATAGTAAATTTATGATTGGAGGAGTATTATTTTAATGTATTTAGTTGAAAAAAGATGCATTTGAGGGAAAATCCATTGCTCTATCCCTGACAATGACGTTTTTTAGCTATGCCAATGGTGATTGGGTCCTTTTTGGCGTCAGCAAAAGTTAAGTACAACAAGTAAAGTATGTAAAGAAACATCAAAGTGGCTGTGTTGATTAAGTTGTAGCAATTTTGACAAAATCCTTCTTCAGTGGTTGAATTTTGTGTCTTAATTCTTTATAGCCTCCACTTGAATGACGCCATCAATGACGTTGAAAATGTTAGCTATCTAAATCTTGTCTTGCGAATTTTTTTGTTTTCCTTAAAAATATCATTATCCAATTATTGGAAGAGTACAGTGGAGTCACCGAGTTTTTAACTGTTGGAGTAGCACTCACACCCGTGTAAGTATGTGTGCAAATGTGTGTTGATCCAACTGCAAAAAAGCTCGATAATTATATTGCAATCATTGCTAAGATCGCAAGCTTAAAGAGAGAGAGAGATTGCCTATGTTATGTATATTGTCTGTGAAATAATCTAAAATCTTGTGCAATTTGTGAATTATTATTATTATTTTTTGAGTTTGCAAACAGCTCATATTGCAAGATAATTGCAACTTAAGTCATGTGATACTCTTTTTCATTAGAAGATTTAGAAGTATTAATTTATTTTTGAATATTCCTATAAGGAAAGTAGTACACTTGACTGCAGTCCTACGCAAGTCTTTATAGAAGAAAAGAAAAAAGTGTTATCTGAAGATTTAGCACATGCGTACCATCAAAGTGAAAGATTACCGAGACCCTTTAATTCGACTTTGAACCTAAAATTACATTTAATTTGTGCAACTTTATCAAGTAGCAATGCCTTTGTAGAGTAATTAGAGTCTTAAGTTGCCAATTTGTAAAGTGGGCCAAGTGGGGAACAACTTGATAAGATGGGCTGGCCCACTAAGATGCGTTTCATTGACATTATGACAACATGCAGTAAAAGACGTGTAGGCTATCGAAATATATAGGTACATACATTGTATATGATTTCATTCTTCTAATACAAAATTATAATTTGTGTGCGTGTTCATGTGTTCCCTAGTCTTACTGTACAAAATTATATTTGGAGCTATTTCACTTTTATTTTTTTTTTTCCTTCCAAATCCTTTACTTTTGATAGTTTAATTTCATCTTCAAGCTCAGGAAATATAAATATGACTCTTTTCTAATATTGAGTTACTTTCTTTAAATTGAAATATTTCCTCACAGGCGGAATATAGAAGTTTCGTCTGGTAAAATTATAGTTGTAAGCTGCAGCCGTAGAAGACAGAAAAGTCCAAGTCAAACATTGCTAGTCAGCCGTCAGTGGTCATGAGAAATAATAGAATTTCAACGGGCTTCGTTCGGGTTTCCAGGAATCCGGGTCAAACAACACAAACATTATCCGATAATTTAATATTCGAACAGAAGATTAAAAACCGAATTTCTTAAAAAATTATATATCTACTGAAAAAGGTCGCCCATTTGGACTTTGTCTAGTTATCCTGAGAAAAGCCGCCAGCAGCATCAAATTCCATGCTATTCTGAATGGAATTGGAAATAAAGGCTGCGCAATAGTTACAGTATGATTCTATTGCACATCATCTCTTTTGTGATATAATTGAATTTTCATAGTGGATTGTTTAGATTTTTTTGGCGTAATGCCCCTCCATGTTGACTTGCAATTACACTCCTCTATAGATTTTTATATTTGTGTGGCCTACGTGTCATGCAACTTTTTCTTAGGTTTGATTATAATTAGTAAATATCTAATTTTATGATTTGAGCTTGATTTGACTTTTGTTTGGTTGTCCACCTGTAAACTTAGGGGTGTATTCAATTAGGACTTTTATAAACTTTTTAAGACTTTTGAAATTTAGGGGTTTTCAATTGAAACATTTTGAGACTCTCATAAAGTTTACATGTATTCAATTAAAACTTTGCAAGAGTCTCTAAAAGTTGTCCGTTATTAAAGTTGAGGAAGATTTTGAGAAACTTTTAAAAGTAAATGATTCTTGTAGACTTTTTAACCAAAAGTACAAAGAAAAAATACAGGTGAAAATCTCACCAAATTTGTGAGATTTATGAAGACTCCCCTCTTTATCTCTCTTCTAACAGATATTCTTATAAGACCTTACTGTCTCACGGCATTAATTTTGAAGCTTTCCTATGCTATCATAACATCCAGACCTTTTAGTTGTTGGTAGCTTATGCAAATATATTCCTAGTTACCAAGCTTCACTTGACCTTCTTTTGAGTAAAATAAAAGTTCTTGCTTCAACTCAAGGCTTTTGTGTTCATCTAGAGAAAAGAAGGTGTACGCTTTCAGAGAGAAAATTATAATGCGGGCCTAAAATCCTCAAAATGATTTGAAAACAATGCTGCAGACGTTTCACATGGTAGAAATAATTTGTTTTTTTCTCCTTATTTCCAATAGCATTGCCACTATTATATTTAAATGCTTGAATAACAGAAGAAACTACATACAAAGGGGAAATTATCTCCTGACTAATAACTATGCTAGTCTGTAGTCAACACATGGATGTGGGGTGAAAAGCATGAACATAACATAAGTGCATGATATTGTTAATTTTATTGTTGTTCTTTTTGATTATTCTATTTTTCTTAAATTGTCAATAAGATAATTATTGCACTTTTTTAGTTCCATTGTTAAATATATTTCATTTTTTTTTTCTTTTCGAGTTCATTTGTTATAATATTTTTTACTCTTGTCTTCATTCTGGCTCAATAGGTAGTGTTTAATATCATAACTCATTTTAAATTAATATTATAATTTTTTAATTACTAATTTGACTTTATTGATACTAGTTATTATCCACATAATTTTTTATGAACATTTCATACAAATTTAATTATTATATGAAGAATTATATAAATTATAGAAGTCTTATAAAGTCCAAAAAAGTTTACATTGAAAGTCTTAAAAAGTCTCAATAACAATCTCACAAAATCCACATAAGTCATTAAAAATTGCATAAAGTCCACAAAAGTCATCCATTTTAAAAAGCCTTAAAAAGTCTTTAAAAGTTCTAATTGAATACACCCCTCTTAGTCATACTTTTATAAAAAAATGCATATTTGTATTATGTAATGTCATACTTTTGTTAATATTTATTTATGAATTTGAATATGAAAGTATGTATATTTGCTCGACGAGTATGGTTGTCTAATGATTAAATAGTTTAACAGAAGACCAACCAGTTAGTTAGGTAGTCTAACAAATGTCAGTGTTAGACAGATCAATCGGTTATATCTTTTCAATAAAATGCATATTTATACTGGAAAATGTCTTTTATTTATATTGATTACATTCTAAGATGAAGAATGCATGTTTGTTGTAAATTATGATTGTCTTATGAACTAGCATATGCATTGTTGATATCAAGATAGATTGTCTTAATGTTATGGTTCAATTAAAGAAATCGCGAAGATTAATGCATAAACTGGAATCTGGACGACGTCAAGAAATACATGTTGTATCTCGGTAATCTCACCTCGGCGCCCGTAAATGATACCGCAGAATTTTCAGAAGACATCAACACAGAATTTTCGGAAGTCATCAACACAAGTCGTCTGAATCTTGAAAAAGGCCAATTCGGTCAAAAAGTTATTTATTAAGAAGTCGTAGAATATTGAAGGTCTATCAAAATACCGACTTCGCAAGACGAACCGAGCTCATGCCGACAGATGTGACACTCGTCACACAGATAGAGGCGCGCCCATGCTAATCATTGCCTAAAAAAGTTCTCCTACGTCATCGCCGCCCCTAAAACGTCAAATCTTCATTAAAACGGGAATAATTTGTCTAGGGATGTGTGCCAGACATACCTATAAATAGCAGTTCCAAAAACGAGAGAAGGGTTCGAAAAACGATCATATACACTCATATATTCAGCTCGGCTATCTCATTGTAAACCGACTTGAAATACATTGAAAAACCGACCTCCCTATACTAAAACCGACTTCAAAATATTCAATAAAAATTCTCATTTTCTGCGATCTTTTGTGTTAATTTTACATTGTTAACGTTGATTAAATCCGTTTATCAACATGCATAATAGCAAACATATCATTGTTTAATTTTATTTTTCGTTTGTAGTTAATAAACTTTAGGGACAATATTCGCGAAAATAATATAATTAAGTTAGTTCAAATGTAAACTATAAAAATGCCCAACCTTTTGGGAGCCAAAAGCAAATTGGGGAGTGAAGGATTTTTGTTTGGATCCCAAAAGAAGGCAAAGGAAAAAATTAAAAAAGAAGGAAAATGCTTGCTTGGCTGTAAAAAGTCGCACTTTTTAAAACTTTGTTTTTATGAAAGTGAAAAGCGTTACTTAGCTGGATGAAAGAAATTTCAGTG